GCCACACTTTTCTTAATGCACCCCAGGATCCCATTGGCCTTCTTGGCAGCCAGGGCACACTGCTGGCTCATGGTTAACCTGTCGTCCACCAGGACACCCAGGTACCTCTCCGCAGAGCTGCTCTTCAGCAGGTCCACCCCAGCCTGTACTGATGCATGAGGTTGTTCCTCCCCAGGTGCAGGACCCTGCCCTTGCCCTTGTTGAACCTCATCAGGTTCCTCTCTGCCCAACTCTCCAGCCTGTCCAGCTCTCGCTGAATGGCAGCACAGCCTGCTGGTGTATCCACCACTCCTCTGAGTTTTGTGTCATCAGCAAACTTGCTGAGGGTACATTCTAACTCCTCATCCAGCCTTCAACCCCCCCAGACATGAGGGCCTTGTGAAACTCGAACGGGGTGCTGGAAACCCATGAGTGTGGCTGAACTTTGGAGAACTGCGCCCTGGCTTGCGCGAGGGACGCGGTTTTTACTGCAGGCTGGAAGGACTCGCGTGTCATCCCCAGTTCCTAGTTTCGCTGTAGCGTTAGCCCGCCCCGTCGAAACCATGCGCTGCCTGTTTCTTCTGCTGAAGGCTTTGCATCTTTTCTCTTTTTCAGGAAGGATACGTATCAAACCCCCGGAGTTTGTGGGAAAACTACCCGCATGTTTATCTTCCGTAAGCACTCACAAGGGCATTTTGTTCTCGGGCTGACCACTTCCTTCCTCTGTATGGTTTTCCCTGCGGCTGGGAGCGGGGTGCTGACAGCACAGCGCCCTTTGCATGCACCCTGCTGCAAGGATGCTGCAGTGAGATCCCATGGGATGGGGGATATCTCGTTTGTGACCCCGGGGAGGGTGTTTCCGGAGGGTTTCCTCCATGAGGAAGGTCCTCTGGGTTTGGTTACTCATCCTGGCTGCTTACTGCCTGCATCACCTTGGGCAAGTTGCTTTGCTCTTTATTTTTCATAGCAGAAACGAAGTGGGGGATAATCTTCCCTTCTTAGGTTTTTGCAAGAGTGAGGTTTGCTGAGAGCATGGTGACCTCAGGATGAGCATCTGGTTAAATGCTGAGCATGGCTAGCTTGGCTCAACATATAATCACAGAATGTTCAGGGTTGGAAGGGACCTCTGTGGGTCACCCAGTCCAACCCCCTGCCGAAGCAGGGTCACCCAGAGCAGGCTGCACAGGACCTTGTCCAGGCAGGTCTTGAATATCTCCAGAGAAGGAGACTCCACAACCTCCCTGGGCAGCCTGTTCCAGTGCTAATTTCAGCCCAGAAGTGATGCCTCCTAAATGCCATGGCTTCAAAGCGGTGGAGGGATTGCCCAGTGCTGTGTGGCCGCGCACCTTCCCCAGCACCTGGGTCCTTGGTGTCCTGCCATGCCCTGGCCTGGCTCACGCGGCTCATCCTTGCATTTCAGGTTCCAGGTGAAGTTTTTCTACCTGTGCCAGCTGGCATACTGGCTGCACGCCCTGCCAGAGCTCTACTTCCAGAAAGTTCGCAAGGTGAGAGCCGTCCCGCGCGCCCTGGGGATGCTGCAGGTGCTTTGCCCACCAGCTTTGGGGAAAGCAAGTTGTGGGAGAGGGCTGGTGGAGAGAGGAGGGAGGTTAACGCGGCTTTCTGCCCCTGCCAGGAGGAGATCCCTCGCCAGCTGCGGTGCATCGCGCTCTACCTGGTGCACATCGCCGGCGCGTACCTCCTCAAGTGAGTCGGCTGCCTCGGCGTCCCGTCCCACGCCACGGATGGGGCTGAGCAGGTCCTTCTGCAGCGCGAGGCACCCGGGAAGCCTCAGCGGGGCGGGGGGCTTGAAGGGAGTGAAGGCGGGCGTTCGAAAAGCGGGTGGTGGTGAAGTTGACCTCCCGGCTGCGGGCCGTCAGTCAAACAGTTTTCACAGACCCACGGGTCTGGTTTTGAAGGAGTTTGGTGACGGTACGCGAGCGCACAGGCGGTCTCACAGAATCACAGAATGTTCGGGGTTGGAAGGGACCTCTGTGGGTCATCTCTGCTCACGGGGCGTTGCAAAGCAGATGTTAAGCAGGGACCCAAAATGCAGGTTGATGGGTGCATCGCCCCTGGGTGTGAGAAGCACCCTGGGGTGCTCTCCCAGCACGGCATGGCAGCCCTTACCCTTCCTTTCTCAGAGTGTGAGCGCAGAGCAGCCATGCCAGCGGTTAGGGCTTTGTGTCGGACCCGTTCCAGCTCTGCTCCTGGTTTGGGCTTCTTTGATTTGTTGGGGACAGGAATTCCCCCATCACAATCCTACCCCTGCTGCTGCAGAGAGGTCCAGCTTCGGGCTGGCGCTTGCTGCACCTCAGGGATGGGGGGGGAGATGCTGTTGCTGGATTTGAAGGACCGAGGTTGACCATCCCAGTGATGCTTTTTTCTTCTCTTCCCTCCTAGCTTAACCCGCTTGGGGCTGATCCTCTTGCTGTTGCAGTACTTAGCCGAATTCTTCTTCCACATGGCCCGGCTGGTCTGCTTCACGGATGAGAACAACGAGAAGCTGTAAGCAGGCGAGCTGGCCACAGCTTCCATCCTCCGGTGCCCAGGAGAGCCGTCGGCGTGACTGGGGGCTCGACCTCACCTTCCAGCTCAGCGCTGGAGGCTGCTCCTGCCAACACCTCTGCTTGCCCTCCTGCAGGTTTAACGTCTGGGCTGTGGTGTTCGTGGTCACCAGGCTCTTCACCCTCACCTTGTACATCCTGGTCATCGGTTTTGGGCTGCCACGGGTGGAGAACCAGGCCCTGGACCCCGAGAGAGGGAACTTGTTCAGCTTTCTCTTCAACAATATCCTCTTCAGGTAGGAATATCCCCTACCATGTCTACCACCTTATTTTTTTAGTGCATTCTTTCACTGTAAGACTGAATTGTGGAAACCTCCCCATGTGTTCCTTGGTTGTGTTATCCCAGGGTGGATTTTGCCGAGTTTGGAAATGACAGTGGTGGTGTGATCTGGGTTCCCTTTAGGGAAGGTCCTAGTGAGCTGCGAGAGTGTGGAGGGAGCGAGCAGGGGTTAACATCTATGGAGCCACGACGGAGAAGAAAAGCCAGCAAAGAAGTTGTTTGTTGAGTGAAGTTGTAAAGCGTGAGCCTATCTTAGAGAAAGGCTTGCAGGCTTTGCCATCTGCACCCATAACTGCGCTTGCAGCGATGTGGTCCATGAAGAGGCGTTTTCCCTTCTGCTTGGATATGTTTTGCTGCCTGTTGACATGCGAATGAGAGGATGGGATAGGTTCCTCATGCCTTGCAGTCTGTCTGTCAAGTCTGGGAGCCTTTCTCACCCATACAGCAACTGTAAATTCAGTTCAGATGTTGCTAGGACAGCTGCCTGGTCACAGAATCACAGCATGGTAGGGGTTGGAAGGGACCTCTGTGGGTCATCTAG